GTTCTGTCCATATATTTGTTAATTAACTTGTTTGGTCCCACTGCAATAGACTGTCTCCCTCCAACAATTTATTCTATATTGGAACAATACCATTGGTTGTTATAAGCTAATAATCTTCAAATACCTCCTCTATCACAAAATCCTATCAATGCAGAGGCCGTGTTGCATGAGAAAACACTCATCCCCAATTTCCTGACTTCCTAATTCAGCACAGCTGTTCCCAATGTAAATATTCTCCCCTGATAGGTAAAGGAAAACATTTAATTTGCACATTGCACTAGTGTGCTGTCACCCACAGTGTAGGTACATGATTTCATTTGCTTCTCACCAACCAATCAGAGACAAGTGGTAATTGTTTAGTAAGTGCACAACACTAAACACAGAGCAATACAGAATGCAAAAACATCCCCCTGTCCACATATGACTCTAACCCTAGTAACTCAATAAGGGGAATTAATAACAAAATTTTTTAAGTTTCACTAGGAACTAAGTAGAATGTCCAAAGAGTGATTCTGCCAAAGGTAACAGCAATGCTTCAACCAATGCCATCACCAATTCTAGTGAACAAACAAAAAGATGCAGGCACCCAATAAAACTGATTGCCCTCCCTCTAATGAACACAAAGTAAATTATAAGGACCAAATCTCAGGCTAGAACAGTCTACCTAATCCACGGAAAGAACCACTCATGCCACACAAACATGTCATCATAGCCATTGAACTGGAAATACCAGCACGAGGCTAAAAAGCTCCACAGCTTCTCCACCCCAAAACAATCCAAGAACTTCAGCCCTGCCAGTGGTGACCCATAAGCTACCAGGCAACACTACTTCACATCGTATATTGCAAACAGCACCACCAGACCACGTCCCAGTGAAACCAAGCCCCAGACCTCTCCTAAAGCCCCAGTACGGAAATATATCACCACTGGAAGGCCTCTGAAGTCCGACAAGGTCCTGACTTACTCCTAACAGCACAAATTAAGGACACTCCTAAAAAAAAAAAAAGGCTCCAAGTCCAGCAAACACCCACTCTTCCCTGAACCACACGTTCATTCTGCACAATCAGTCGGCCTGGGGTCACTCTGGGAGGGTCAGCAGAGGGACCTTCCCAGCCCCAGGTTGGGCCACGACTCTATCTTTCCCGAGTTCACTCCCAGTGAGAGCTAGGGAACCAACTGTTTTGTGACCCCACAACTGGAATTCCAGCCTGGAGACAGCATCAAGCTCTCGGCCACCTAATACCCAAGCAAAAGGAAAGCCCGGCACCTAGACGGAGGCCGAACAGCACGTCCCCACCCCGGGATCAGCGCCGAGCTTCTCCTCTGCACTCAAGAGTCCCACGCGACCCCTCACCCCTCGCCACCACGAGGGCGCCGGCGCCCCCTGCCAGGCGGGCAAAGGATACAGTCCCGGCTCCAGAACGCCGAGGCGCCCGGGCGGGAGGGGCCCGCCACGTCCGCCATCTTGAAACAACCGCCACTCCGGGCGTCGCGTCGGGGCCGCCACGCCCCGGCCTCCGGGCTCAGTCCCCATTGGCCGCACAGCCCAGAGGCCCGCCCCCGTTTGCGCCGCCGGCCCCGGCGGGGCGAGAGGGTCCGGGCGAAGGGGAGGCTGTGTGCCGGCGGTGCGGTGTGGGGCCCAGGCCGGGGCAGCGGGAACGAGCGCCCCGCGGAGCTACTGCTGCCAGACCAGCCCTGGGCCCCCATCTCCACCCCGCCGCGCTCTCAGGCGCCGAGAACTACAGCTCCCGGCATGCCGTGAACTTGACGGCCGAGGCGCTGAGGCGGGGTCGGACCCTCCTCCGGCCCGCCCCGCTCTCCACACCCGCGGCAGCCGCTTTCCCGGCCGCGCGCGGAGCGGGGACGCGAGCCATGGAGAAGACGTCGCCCCCGTTGCTGGGCTGCAACAAGCCGCACCTGGAGAAGCTGACCCTGGGCATCACCCGCATCCTAGGTGAGAGGGGACACGGCCGAGCGGGTGTGGAGTAGAGGAAAGGAGGAGGGCGGGTTGAGGTGCGGGGTGGGCGGCACGGCTGTGGACAGTGTATATGAGTGGGCGGCAATACTGTGACTTCCGTCGTTAAGGAGGAAAGAGGGGGAGCCGGATTTGCCGAGAGTGTTGTGAGGCAGAGCTGGAAAGCCCGAAGGTTCCCCGCTCACCCCAACCTGAGGTCCCACCCTAGGGCTCAGGAAGGAAGGG